TCTGTTTTATCAGCTTGAAATTTCCTGCAAATCAAAAGGAAAGCATAACGAATCGTAAAACACAGGATGGAGTTATGGCTTCCATGACTTTATTGGCACATCGCTGGTTTTTTTTCAGAATGTTTTATGACTATTTTGCATGAATGTGATCTGAATTTCGTCGAAGCAGTGTTGGATTTAGTCCAACGTATGAATGTTTGCAAGTTTTTTCTGTTTAAGGGCAGAAATAAACTAAGGACGAACTTAGTCGGATTTCGGACCGATATCTTTTGTTGCGAAAGTTAGTCTAGCAGAAACACATCTTCTAGCCTTTGTTACGTGGAAAAGTGAAAATAATTAATCGTATCATTGGTACAGAAAAAATTAATTACTCCTCTTGTACAAATAGATTAGGACTAGAGCAGTTACTATCTACTAGAATCTCCTAAAGAAATCATACCTGCTACTCCGTGCCTTTTATGCTCAACAAATTCAACAAATTGAGGGATAAAACTATGCAAGTCACTTGTAATGAAAGTTCTTATCTACTGTAATATTTTATCCTTGCCCTGATGACATAGCTAAGAACAGACTGCAGGTTGTTCCACAGTTGTCATATGCCATATAAGGTACCTTGGATTTTGTTTTTTTTCTTCTCACGCCATCGTATACTTTGTATACCCTTCCGCAGTAGTAGTTAAGTGTAAGAATAACTCACGGCTAAGCGTCGCCACTGGTGTTGGATCGGTATGTATTTACATGTACTTAATCAAGACGAATTTATTATTATTATTTACGGCCATTTCAAAGAAATCAAGCGTAAGGAAACTGACTGTAACCGGAAAGGTTTATTTATTCTATAAAAAAATGTTTCTAACCATTAGTTTGTAATAGTCCAAGTTTCTTAAACAATAACGAAACGTAAATCTGTTTTGGGTTAATACTAATGCTGCACCTAAACCAGCCTCAAACAGGAACTTTAATCACTGTATTAAATTTGAACAATAATTCTAAGTCTCATCTCATAAATTTTTTTTATGAATTATATGTGAACTGCTATAACATCCAAGTATATTAGCGCAACCTGTAAATAACTGTTAAATGATTTGTGAGCCCTTATCCCTATACGCCACATAGCATCGAGTAATCGTGAATGGTCTACGGTGTCGAATGCTTTTTTAAGGTCTACAAATATCCCAAGACATGGCGTGCTTTTATCGATGCAGTGACTTTATTTTAGATGTAAGCATTTTTATAGCATCTCGTGTTGACACGTTTTCTCTTAATTCATACTGCTGATAACATATTACATTGTATTTCTCTAAAAATCCATTTAGTCCGACTTTTACGGCTTTTTCGACTACTTTAGCGATACTTGAGATAAGGGATATTGGTCGATAGTTAGAGACCTCATTTTCGTCTCCTGTTTTGTATATGGGTATGACAACTGCCTTCTTCAAAGCTTTCGGAAAGTATCCAGTGCTAAAAATATAAGTATAGATTCATCTTTAATGCAGTCAACATGTGCACAATTACATACAAGACACAGGACCCATCCCTTTTCGTATATTCGTATATTCGCTACAAATAAGGCGCTCACAATCCCTGGATTCATACGAGGGATGTCTTTTAAGTTTTGCATATAGAAACATAGTAGGCCGCGCGGATCGAACGTCAGTACTGAATCTTAACCTCACTCTTTAGTAAACTTAAATTCAAAGTTTCACAACGATACGTGCAGTGTTGTCACTACAGTGAATTTTTAAGTGTCACCAAGTCATTAGAAAAATGGAACTCAACCGAGAACATTTTCGCGCCATAATTTATTATAACTTTCAGAGACAATTATCGCAACAAGAATGCCTTGCTGAGTTACTGTCTGTTTTCGGCAACGAAGCGCCACATCAGTCGATAATTTCCCGTTGGTATGGAGAATTCAAACGTAGACGGGTGAGTCTTAGCGACGATTCCAGGGTCACAAAAAGGGCAGTCACCCAGGAAAACGTCGATACTGTGCGCAAACTCATCATTCAAGATAGACATGTGACATATCCCGAGATTGAGGCGTCCCTGAAGACCTCAATTCAAAAAATTTTACATGAAGAATTAGGAGTAAGAAAATTAGTTTCACGTTGGATACCCCACCTGTTGACTGAAGAGCAGAAAGCAGCCAGGGTTAATTGGTGTCAAAACACGCTTGACCGTTTCTATACCGGAAACTCAAAAAATGTGTACAGGATTGTTGGTGGTGATGAATCGTGGATTTGCTGTTATGAACCAGAAAATAAACGACAGTCGGCTGTTTGGGTGTTCCAAGGTGACGAAAAGCCAACAAAAGTCATCCGTTCTCGAAGTGTTTCGAAAAAGATGGTCACGACATTTGTGTCAAAAGCGGGTCATATTGCAACAATTCCTCTTAATGAGCAAAGAACTGTTACTGCGGATTGGTATACCACCATTTGTTTGCCAAAAGTCATCACCGAGCTTCGAAAAATCAACCCCGAAAGAAGAATCATCCTCCACAAAGACAATGCAACCTCGCACACAGTCCAGAAAACAAGGCAGTATTTATCGGAAGAAAACGTGGAATTATTGGACCATCCTCTATATAGTCCCGATCTAAGTCCTAACGATTTCTTTACTTTCCCGAAAATTAAAATCAGACTGCGTGGTCAAAGGTTCCAGTCACCAGAAGAAGCAGTTGACGCATTCAAAAATACCGTTTTGGATCTGCCAGTAAACGAGTAGAATAAGTGCTTCGAAAATTGGTTCAAGCGCATGAAGATGTGTATTAATCTTCGTGGAGAATACTTCGGAAAACAATAAAGTCATTTAAAACTACCTACCGTGTTGTTTTATTTCCATATGCAAAACTTAAAAGACATCCCTCGTAGATACTTTTCTTACTATTTTTGATTTGTTTTCTCCATCCTTATGTTTCTTTGAATCTAATTTACTTTGCTGTCTTTTCATATTTTACCTCCATCTCAACTTTTTCTTACTTGATACGATTTTGTTTTCCTTTTTCGTTTGTACATTAATAGTACACTCAACTTTTCTTTTTTAAGTCTTAGGTTTGCTTTGATCTTTTGTGTTTTAATGGCTCAGTCATTAGCTTTTCAGGTCTGGAAAGTCAGTAGCTGGGCCAATTTGCAAATCAGGCATAACAGCCAAAACTACAGTATATAGGTAAAAAGTTGCATACACACAATATGTCAATACAAACTTCTCAGGACCCTGGATCATTTTCAGTATCCTGTCTCTCAGTTTGGCATGATCCTGAGAATTTTTATTCAACCCTGTATCTGCCTTTGCGCGACACTTTATTGAAAAAATCTAATATTCACATAGGTTATCAGCTATGACTTATAGATGACATAAGATATTATAAAAGTTGAAAAATAACCTGGGAAAATGACTTTAGAATTAGTTGCTTACAAGCAACATTGCGAGATAAAGTATAGGTTCTATTGTTACTTGCAAGCAACATTCACCGATAAAGGTAAACCTAATTGCACTGGTTTATATGGAAATACAACTCAAATCATTTATTTATAAAACGAATATCAAGAAATAAACAAAATATATATTTCTAGTTTCTCAAAATACAATGTGATGAAACAGCTAAGTCTAATTGGAATAGAAAAGGTAGGAACAATTCTTATTTGGGGTGAAACAAAGCCTAAGATTGCACTTGGTACAAAAGATTGTTGTAAATCTATTGGCACAATGCCTACATCTACCTTTTGTACCATAACTTCGCCAATGACCTATGTCATCTTTTTGGGTGGTGATATCAGGTTTCGGCAGTATAGGGTTTGATATTATTTTCGCAGGGGTTTTATTAGTCGAGGAAATTGATGGTCTGCCACGAGAACTTTGTTTTCCTGCATTGGCCAACGATTTGGCTAATTCCATACGGAACTCCTTTAGCGGTTTTGACGTTACAAGTGCTGTGTTGCAGTCCTTTCTATACAGAAGCCAGGCGTTGATTACGACAGCCCATGTGACAATTGGGAAGTACCATCTTATCGATCTGCTTGGACTGCGATACAGACCAAGTAATGAATTGGCCTTACCGACACCGCCCATGTGCGTTATAACGGATGGACAAGGGATGGCAATTTTTTTCTTTTCCACTTTCGAATATCTTTTTATCGATTTTACGGGATTTAGGCCAAAGGATGTACTTGCTAATAGAACACATTTATTGTCAGCCCATTTTACTACTATTATACCTTTGTCTGTATCTGCTTTATAAACGTAGGAACCTCTTCCCCTTTTTTGAAGCACTTTATCGGTTTCAAGTTGACATCTAGCTATTCTGTTAGACCTTATAGTTCCTAAACCAAGTATCCCGAATCGGTCTTTCAGATAAATAAATAATTTTACAATTGAAAACCAATTGTCACAGAATATAACAGTGTTTTTCGGTTCGCTTAGGGTTTTGCACAGAGAAATGACGCTAGCACCTACACCTAGATTTACTTCATAATCATCTAACTGATTCGGAGATCTTCTAAGCACTTCAAATATCGGAGCTCCCTGATAGGGTATGAAGTCGGCAATATAACCAGACACCCCAGCACGAATAAAAAATTTAAACCCCCATTTGTGGGGTTTATTTTGAATATACTGCCTCGAGTTGCCCGCATATGTGCCTTTTGCAAGACACCAATGTTTCATCAATTGAGTATTGATTTTCAAACTGGAGTTTATAACAGTTCTTGCGTACAATTTCTAATAAGGGTCTAATTTTGAAATATCGATCCTTTGTCTGGTCTGTTATGTTCGTATTATCATTGAAATGGATAAACCGTCTTAGTTTCTGAAACCTCTTCAGAGGCATTATATTGGCCACGTGATCTACCCTTGTATTAGCTGCCCGTAAATCTTCTATGGCAGGAAGTTTTATTACACCCATAATCAAGAGTATAGATAGAAAATCCGTTATTTCTGACGGATTTGTATCAATACATTGCCCAAGTTGCTGAGTACTATAAAGATTTGTCTGATAGACTATTACTGAATGGGAACTGCAATGTTGTCAGGTTCAGGAAAGTCTGGGAAGGTATGTTAGCAGAAACTATGTCAGCTTCAATCCAAGAATAAGATTCAGTTTTTCGTCTTTGTGGTGGTGGCGGCTTAGAAATTACTTTCTGGAACCAGCATGTCAAGTCCTGAAGGCACTTCTTCTTCATCGTTAAGCTCATTTGTTTGGGAAATATTTTCTCCGTCACTGAAATCGTCGTCTGAGACATCGGAAATATGCGGATCTGTGGGAATTACGGACGGTGCCTTCTTTTTGCCGCAAAACATGTAGTGCTTATGGTTGGAAAATTATCCAGATCGGAAGGCTGGAAATTAAAACGTAATTATTCTGGCAATGTTGCTTGAGAGATTCATACTAAACAAAGTCATTTTCCTGCGTTATTTTCTGATCTATCGCTTAAAAATAATCATAAACATAAAGAATCAACCTTCTTTTATACCAACCAAGGCTAATAGAACATAAAAACAAATGATTTCTTACCATTTGCAACTAAAATCCCAACTACAGATTCATACGTGCACCAAACACCTGTTACGCGGCAACCATATTGAAAATTTTGACTCAACTTTTTATAAACAGGTCGCTCATAATATTATTTCCGTTAATGAATAATGTAGCTTACGCGCGACACTGCTCAATCAGACCGTTAGAGCAGGGAGGACGAGAAATTGAGGTTTGAAGATGATGTTGTCTACAGGCTACAGCACCAGATATAGGGTTAATATTAAATGTAACCAAAATTATAGAGAACTAAGCCATTGTACAAGCAACTTTACCATACTTAACAGCGAAGTGTGACCATCTCATGAAATGCTAGAAATGCTTCATGAAATGGTCAATTCTATAAAACATAAACATAACATCTTTCTAACATAGGCAACCAGTTGTTTTACTATTAATAACATTCATCAGACAAGCATCTGCAAGGGGATCAGGGACGGATCATAGGGATCAACCCTCGTAAGGGCTATTTCTCGTAATTTGTTTGTTCACGAAGAAATCACCAGGATTAGCTTCGCCAACTCTTGGAGTAATAATCATACAGTTATTTAGAATTTATATGGTAGGAGTAACTCCTATAAAAAAAAATTGATCCGCCAATGTGTGTGTAAGAGGGCTCCGAGGAAGCAATAAGGGCTTGAGGTGCCAATAAAAATAATTAAAGCGCAGGTTTAATCCGATGAGTGTACGTGAGGTAAAGATAAATTAGACTGAAATTAGACGGAATTGCTGGAAGTGAGGTCGTTGTAGTGGGAGGTGTATCACAATATCTTCTAATTTTCTAAAGAAATTAGCCACCTATGTTTTCTCTTTCTGTCTCCCCATCTCTCCACTTCCCGATTGCTCGATCCAATCGGTTTTTTCTAAACGGGGGGTGTGGCTTGGGATAATTGGACTTTAACTTATAGAGGGCTTTGGGATATCTCCATATACAGGGATACCCAGAACTACAGCGGTTGTAGGAACGTTTGAAGATTTAACATTCCACAGCTGGTTTCGGGGTAAAGGTAAAAAATCTACTCGTCTGTCAGAGCGGTATGTAGGACCCTTGCTCTTGGTTGAAGTACTGTAAGTCAATAGGTCTGTCAGGTCTGGTTGCTCAAATACCAGACAAAGTCAGGGAAAAGGAAGGGAACAAGAGTGAAAGCAAGGAGGAGGGAGGGTAAAGAAGAGAAAGTGCGTTAATTTAGAGATTCATTGTTTTTGAAAAATTGTAACTTTGGACCTAAAGTTGCATGATTTAGTTTTGTTCTTGTAAGCTTGCGAACTTGCTTGACTGTGTAGTCTACTGAGTCGCATAACGTAGCTGCGCTTGCTTGATATAGTCCCTTAGGTAAGGGATGTCGAGGCATCTGTGAGGGGTTTGATTGGAGACGTACCATGAGGCGTTAGTGATTGTTCGTAAAGTTCTGTTCTGAAAAACCTGCAGACCTCGCAAATGCGTTTTGGCGAGAAAACACCAGGCCGCTGACGCGTAAGTGATCGCTGGTCTAGCAACCATTTTGCATAGTCGAAACTTTGTTGATCAAACTTAATTTTGAGGTTCTACTTACCAGTTTAGTTTTTAATGTTTCGGTGTGCTTCTGTCAGGTCATCCCTTCATCAAGAGAGACACCAAGATACTTGGCAGAATTTACATATACGAGCCCCTACCCACTTCAGTTGGCCCACTTCAAGATTTGTACCAAAATATGCCTTTATAAACTAAACATGACGAAACTATTTACTTCTAAAACAATCTATTTTCTCAAAAACATTTTAGATACACTCTAGTCGTAAAAAATACATATTTGAAATCACTTAGACTTATAACTAATAGAACATCTGAACAAATAAACAATGTGCGAATAAATGCGCGAAGTTAACAAAGCAACAATTGAAAGATTACCATTGGGTAACATCACCTTTATTTTTTATTACGGATGAAATTCTTTGGAGCATAGTGTTAACCAAGTTTTGGCAAAAATTTGGTGTAAAACAATCCCATATTTCTTGAACCTTTTGTCTTAGCTCGGTGATTGTACGAGCAGGATGTTGTCGAAGAACCTTTTTCATCTCGTGCCACAAAGTTTCAATAGGTGACAGATCTGGACTGCTAGAAATCCATTTTAAAAGTGGTACACTATTTTCTTCCATCCATTTTATAGCCTTTTTTGAGGTATGGCACGGTGCACCATCTTGCTGAAACACAAAATCTTGGCCGGATGTCAAACATTCTTCCATCACTGGTAAAAGAGATTCTTCTAAAATTGCCAAATATTTGTTTGTATCCACATTTCCATCAATAAAATGAAGTTTTCCTACACATCACTCTATTGTATTGCACACCATTGTTGAGGTGTCCATTGTCTATGTTCTTTAGCTCATCTAAGCTGATTTTTCTTTTGCAGTGGAGTTAATAGTGGCTTTTATTTGGCCTATAAACAAGTTGTGCAACTTTAGGGTTTTTAATTCACTTTTTTATCAGAAAACTTACCTTGCAAGTGCTCAATCCCAGTTTGTGGACTTCTCTATGAGTTGTGGATCTCGAAATTCTCCTTCCAACAGCGTCACTGCACAGAGCACTTAATTGTAAATAATTGGCACGCCTGTTTTTCACGATTCTTCTTCTTAATGCTCTTCGGTCGGCATTTCTGATTACTGATACTGATTACTTTTTTTCACATATCGTGGCTTAATATTAACTGAACCAGTTACGTTATATCTTCTAACAATATTTCTCACACTGTACCGCGATAAGTCTAACAAAGTTGCAATTTCCGAGTTTGATTTCCCAGAATTAAAAAAATTTATTATCAGTAATCGAATTTTCTCACTAATAACCTTTCATCTACCCATTTTGAAAACCTTAACTACCCAAAACTATTTTAAACGTATTCTGACAGCTGTGATTAATAAAAACAATTGTCATGGCTTTGATTTTTCACAGCCACCTATGCGTTATAGACTTATTTTGCATTGAAATGAAAATAGGTTGATATGCTGTAATTGCAACATGTGTTATTTTTATGCTGTAAATTTGATTAGGGAGTGACAAAGTAGGTGTTTTCTACTATATGTTATCAAAACATTCATTGTTAATATTTTAAACCTATAACACCCTGCTACATTTTTATTATTTGTGTTTGATAAGAAAAAATTACTAAGATTTCAGTAGTTGGGCCAACTGAAGTGGGAACGCGAACTGCGATCACAGAAACCTCAGACAGGGTGCCGCTGGTTTTTTAGAACAACAGATAGCCAGCGTTTTCAATACCTCGTCCAGCCATCGTGAACCAGATTCCCAGAACACGACTGGGCCACCAGCGCATCAGCATATAGATAGACTGGACTTCATATTCAATGTCAGTCGCTTTTTGAAGTCGAATATAGACCGTAGAACAATACTCTTTCAAATCGCAGTCAGCGGCAGCATTTTTAATGTACATATAGAATTGCAAATTGCAATATTTCCGTTGCATTTTGAATGCAAAAAAAACAATGCCATAAGTGAGAAAAACTGTCCTACTGGGCTGTTCTAGTACAAAGTTTGTTTTGCTTAATGAAATTTGTTTCTGATACAGATATACTTCGTTATTTTACACACAAGCACCTGTGTCGTGTCTCAATCCAATCTCTATTTTGCATCAAATATCACTGAAAATTTCGTATCACTCAACTTGACGCTATTTTTTTGCAGGGGAACGAAATTGGTGTTACAGTGGCAGAACTTCAGAAGATTCTACTTGTACGTGATGACAGAAAACATGAAAAACACCATTCTGCGCCATAGGAGGATGCTCCTTTGCGATGAAATCCGCAAGAAGTACAACTTAAGCGAACACGAGATCATTTCTGCAGCAACACTTCCCGAATTGGTTGAGGCATATACGAGGAGAGTGCACGGTATGAACTCCATTGCGGAGTAGTATAAATGGAGTTCCAGTGTAGATTATTTGGATAACATTGAACTGCCTATAATATTTATAAATGCTAAGGATGATCTTATAGTGCCTAACCCGCTGTTGGAGCCTGTCAGAAAGCTATCACGTGAGTATTCATTTATTTCCAAACCAAAAAAATATAACGAGCCCCTTCCCACTTCAGTTGGCCCAACGATTGAAATCTTAGTTTTTTTCTTATCAAACACAAATAATAAAAATGTAGCAGGGTATTATAGATTTTAAATGTTGACAATGAATATTTTGATAATATATAGTAGAAAACACCAACTTTATCACTCCCTAATCAAATTTGCAGCATAAAAATAACACATGTTGCAATTACAGCATATCAACCTATTTTCATTTCAATGCAAAATAAATCTATAACGCGTAGGTTGCTGTGAAAAATAAAAAACCATGACATTTGTTTTTATCAATCACAGCTGTCAGAATACGTTTAAAATAGTTTTGGGTAGTTAAGGTTTTCAAAATGGGTAGAGGAAAGGTTATTAGTAAGAAAATTCGGTTACTGATAATTAAATTTTTTAATTCTGGGAAATCAAACTCAGAAATTGCAACTTTGTTAGACTTATCGCGGTACAGTGTGAGAAATATTGTTAGAAGATATAATAACGTAACTGGTTCAGTTAATATTAAGCCACCATATGTGAAAAAAAGTAATATCACAAATGCCGACCGAAGAGCATTAAGAAGAATAATCGTGAAAAACAGGCGTGCCAATTATTAGTTAATTAAGTGCTCTGTGGAGTGACGCTGTTGGAAGGAGAATTTCGAGGTCCACAACTCATAGAGAGCCCCACAAACTGGGATTTAGCACTTGCAAGGTAAGTTTTCTGATAAAAAAAAAGTGAAGTAAAAACCCTAAAGTTGCACAACTTGTTTATAGGCCAAAGAAAAGCCACTAATAACTCTACTGCAAAAGAAAGAACATAGACAAAGGACACCTCAACA